GGTGCAGGAGCTATTTTCAGGAAGTCTTTCTGATCTTCTTCTATGACCTCCTCTTGATCATACACCTTCATTCTCGCTCGTGCTGCCTTTAAACTTTTCACTGCTTCCAAATGTTGTATTTTTCTCCGTTTTTCCTCAAGAGTCTTTTGTAGAGCTCCATGTTATTCTTCCATTTGAGCTTTAATTTTGGCTTCATCTTCCTCTCTCTTTATTCTGTTTCAACTCTTCAGCTTCTTGCTCTAAACAACGTTTTGCAGCTGCTGCCTCTTGATCAGCTATCTTCTTTTTAACTTGAACTTCTAAGAGCTGAATTTCCAGTTGTTCTTTATTTTGTTCTTCTAACACTTCCAGAATTGCCAATCACAATGCACTGGGACAGCTAACCAATCACAACACATTTTGTTTTTCGGAAGGTGGACCTTCATCAAAGCCGGAACTAATCGAGCCGTTTGTGCCAGGATGGGGAGAAAGGTATTTTAATAATGTAAATTATGTGAAAAATAATGCGGTTTTTGAACCACCAAGCATGAGAGCATGTTCTAGTACACCCCAAAACAAAATCAAGACTTTGTAAAAAAAGCATAATAGGACCCCTTTAAGTTTAAATATAACATTTTAATGTAGAAATATTAAATGATTGCAAAAATGAAATAAGCTACTTTTTAAAATATGAAACTATAACCGCCTGTAGGTGGCAGCAAGTGACTGTCTTAATGAGTGAGTTGAATCAACCGATTCATTTAAAAACTGATTCATTTAACTTTGCAAACAACTGTACTATAGCCCGATTGAATCATTTGCTGGTCCGTGTAACGCCTGAGGAAGGCTTCACAGAAGACCTACTTGAACACTCTGAAGCACCTTTCAAAATAGAAGAAACCGAGCCTGACTTACTTGACTTACTTGACTTGAGTCTTCCTTTTCTTCTTCTAGAGTCCCTCCTTGCAATCGACTTGAGGCTCTGGATACAATAAAGTCAGAAACTTCCTTTCTTGCTCTGGAGTTGAAAAAAATTCCATTTAAAAACTGATTCATTTAACTTTGCAAACAACTGTACTATAGCCCGATTGAATCATTTGCTGGTCCGTGTAACGCCTGAGGAAGAAAACACTGTTGTTCGGAGACGCAGCGGTTCTGCTGTTTGTTCTATTTTCTGTCTGACGGAGCAAAATGGAATTTTGTTGTCTGAAAGTTACTCTGAAAAGTTTCTTCTTGTTCCATTTCTTCCCCACTATGTGTAATGGTAGTAAGACGAGAGAGAGCGCTCAAAACTCATCAGATGATCACATAATTTAGTGGAACATTAATATAAAATCATCCTCTTTAAAGAAATGAGGTGTGAACATTTGAGAATTTATCATTATCTTTCTATGCGCGCTCTTTGGGGCTAATTGCTTAATGGAGCTGTTTAAAGTAGCTTTGTGATAAACCAAACAGACAATTCAATACATGCGTCCTTCTATGTGAAATAATCATAAATACCAGTTTATGCTGTTTGACTGTGGCCTCGAAGGTCGTAGTTGTAAGCTGTAGCCCCAGCTGGCCCGTTTAGATCTTGCATGCGCAGTGGAAATGCGGCTAATAATTTCTGAATTCTGATTTATTTGTAAGACTTTTTTATGACTAAATTTGGTAATGGGAGAGTAAAAATATTTTTAAAACGTACACCGTTCAAACTAGGCTGCTTATGTTGAAGTGTTTGGGATGTGGCTTTTAATGATGAGACCTTTTTTGTAATCAGGCTCTCAAAAAGTATATAACAATTTGGATATAGATTTATCGGCCAACATATCGATTATCGGTATCGGCCAAAATTTTCATATCGGTGCATCCCTAGTTGGGGGGTGGGGAGGGGCGAGGTTGTGGTTAGAACGCTTGGTTGAGTGAGTGCATCAGACTAGACGATGAAGAAGTGCTGCTGCAGAGTTAGTGCATCAGAGAAAACGAATTAGAAGAGCTGCTGTGTGTTGTAGCTTAAAATTCTGCATGTCTAGTACAACACAACATAGCTGGGCGCCGCGGACAGACGCCGCCGGTGTGCCTACACTCATAGAAAATAATGTATTTGAATTTTAAAGATTTGGCACGACGCGACGCGACGCTGCGCTTCTCGTCCGGTGCGCGACCGCCTGAAACGCTGTTTTTTTCACCTCCGAGCCGACCAAACGTCTTTGTTTGGGCTTCCGAATGCGGATGATGTCAGGAAACAGTGGTTGCAATTTATTTTTTAACTCTGTCCCTGAGCATTATAACCCCAATTTGCTATTATGTGCTGCGCATTTTACTGAAGACAGCTTCCACAACATGAGGGAGTACAGTGCCTGCCGGATTCGCCAAAAAGCTTTTGTTGAAAGACGGCGCAAGGGGCGTGGCAGTACTGAAACACCGTCTAAGCTGTTTGCCAATCACAATGCACTGGGACAGCTAACCAATCACAACACATTTTGTTTTTCGGAAGGTGGACCTTCATCAAAGCCGGAACTAATCGAGCCGTTTGTGCCAGGATGGGGAGAAAGGTATTTTAATAATGTAAATTATGTGAAAAATAATGCGGTTTTTGAACCACCAAGCATGAGAGCATGTTCTAGTACACCCCAAAACAAAATCAAGACTTTGTAAAAAAAGCATAATAGGACCCCTTTAAGTTTAAATATAACATTTTAATGTAGAAATATTAAATGATTGCAAAAATGAAATAAGCTACTTTTTAAAATATGAAACTATAACCGCCTGTAGGTGGCAGCAAGTGACTGTCTTAATGAGTGAGTTGAATCAACCGATTCATTTAAAAACTGATTCATTTAACTTTGCAAACAACTGTACTATAGCCCGATTGAATCATTTGCTGGTCCGTGTAACGCCTGAGGAAGAAAACACTGTTGTTCGGAGACGCAGCGGTTCTGCTGTTTGTTCTATTTTCTGTCTGACGGAGCAAAATGGAATTTTGTTGTCTGAAAGTTACTCTGAAAAGTTTCTTCTTGTTCCATTTCTTCCCCACTATGTGTAATGGTAGTAAGACGAGAGAGAGCGCTCAAAACTCATCAGATGATCACATAATTTAGTGGAACATTAATATAAAATCATCCTCTTTAAAGAAATGAGGTGTGAACATTTGAGAATTTATCATTATCTTTCTATGCGCGCTCTTTGGGGCTAATTGCTTAATGGAGCTGTTTAAAGTAGCTTTGTGATAAACCAAACAGACAATTCAATACATGCGTCCTTCTATGTGAAATAATCATAAATACCAGTTTATGCTGTTTGACTGTGGCCTCGAAGGTCGTAGTTGTAAGCTGTAGCCCCAGCTGGCCCGTTTAGATCTTGCATGCGCAGTGGAAATGCGGCTAATAATTTCTGAATTCTGACTGGCATAAAACAAACAAATCAAACAAACGTAAACGGGCAAAGGCGGGGCCCCTTACAAGGCGGGCCCATGGGCTGCAGCCCACTCAAGCCCAATGGTAAGTCCGGCCATGAATATCAGCATATGAAGGAGATTTGTCTCTCGTCATCTCTGAGAGAATATGTGCCGTTAATGCATCGTCAGATGCCGAAAGCGGCATCAGTTTTTACTTTCACTTTCTAGTGAATCGACTGAGATTAAGAGGCTCACCGCATAACTCTTGCGCAAAGTTTGCGCGTTGCTTGTGTGATATCCATTGGCTCACCTGGTTTAAAACAAATATTTACAATATTGCGACGTATCCAGCCCCCCAACCGACCCTTGAGTTCGCGGTTGGGGGCCGCGGATTTGTGCTACACCACTGGACTCCGTCCTTTAGTTAGCCTAGTGCCCGCTCCCTTTTGCCCAGGCCCGCCCAAAAATTTAATTCTGGCTACACCCCTTTAGATTAAATTTTTTATATATATATATATATATATAATCATTAATAAGTGGGATGCTCAGCATTAGCCCGGTTCTGTAAAGTTAATTGAAGTAAATTTTCCTCTTCAATTTGAACTTTATTTGTTCTTAACTTTTAAAATAAGCCTTGTTGAAAAAGTTGTAGACTTTTTTTTTCTTTTTTTATAAAACTTAAGTCATCCATTTATCCATTCCATTATCCAAACTGCTTTATATTTATTAGGGTTGTGCGAAGCTGGAGCCTAGGGTTGTATAGGCTTAGATCTCTGGCACAATTCTGCGCGAGAAAGATCATATTTTGAGCGCACAAGTGCATTTTGCACGTGCGCGATCGGAGTTTCGTGGAGAAAATGTTGGTGTCGCAAAGAAATTTTTTTTTTTTTAAAGTATATAGGAGCGCACGAAAATCACTTTTGCATTTATATAAAGTTTTTGGTTGTGCAGACCTTCTCTTTTGCGCGTGCAACGTTTCACTAACTTGCTCCCTTGATGCCCGCCCTCAGTGCTCTCTAAATGTCAACGCTGGGTTGTGTTGAGCAAGTGAGCCGTTACAATATGCCATAATTCCAGCCAATCAGAGACCAGGCTGCTAAATTCTGATTGGCTGCCTTGACAACATTTCTTGCATTACCACTACAGCAGAAGAGGAAAAAATACAGTGCATGCAGATGTGGCGAAGGCAGTCAAATTGGAAGCATTTACAAAACTAATATCTAACTATTAAATGGACTACACCACCCAGAATACACTGGGAAATAACCTTATCAAAAAGGCACATAGGTTCGCTACCAAGACAGGGTGAGCATGAAGACGTGGACAGGACATATAAAAAAAAGACAAGCACTTTATTGAAATAGAAAAAGTTAAAACCACACCATACAATAAATTCTACACAAGGTCTCAAATCACAAAAACACAATTTCAAATTATACATACAGATACACAAAAAAAATTGAAAGTAAAGGGGGTGGCCAGCAGGAGTCCTCAGCCTTCCACCCAACTCGAAAATTAGAAAAACCCACTTGAGAAAGCGCAGCAAACTTATTAAAAAATAAAAAAAATTAATAAAATAAAAAAAAAAAAACACACACACACAACACTCGGTGTACGCATTACAACCACAATTGGGCTCTCCCACTACACAAGTTGACTGAAAAATACGAGAAATTACAAAACACCCCACACACAAAACAAAAACCTAAACAATTACACTCCGAAACAAAACCACAGATAGTCAAATATTTGCTCAAGGAAACAAATAACTCACAACCACAATACACACACACACGTAACCAAATTAAATCAAGATGAGACCCAGGCAAAACAGCAGCGCCGTCACAGCAGTAGATGTATTCTGCCCCAAACTAACCAAAATCACAGCCACCCTTGCACGTGCAGTTACCTGCCGAACATGGAAAAGTGAGTTACTCACAATATACTGAGAATTAAAATCAAGGAAACTCACAATTATACATTCCGCGGGAGCTTTATGGCGGCGTACTACACATCGTTACCAGTCATAGGAAATGCAGGCTTTTTGTGTGACAACTACAAACATAACAAATCAGCCTCTCTTGTTAATAAACAAAACTCCTTTTAACAACTCCACAAGCCTACCTGTAAACCACCGTGAGCGTCCAACATACAGCAGCCAGAAAACCAGAAACAACGATCCTGGCGATAACATTGATGTTACCATCCCCTGTATCCTTCCACAAATTTGCGACTTCACCGCTACTACACTTACCGTCAATTCACAATGGAAGGAGCCACAAAAAGAGGCAGTACCACCAATGGTGCATCTCAAGCTTCTTCTTCTTCTTTTGGAGTTTTATGGCGGTTGGCAAACAAACGATAGGTGCATTCCCGCCACCTACTGGGCTGGAGTGTGGACCATTGATGGAATAGGAAGAACAAAAAAAAATAATAATAATAAAAAAAAATTTTTTTTTTAAATAAATACATAAAAAATATTTAATGATAAATTATATAATAATAATAGAAAATATTTTTTTTTTAAATTCTTCTAAATCCTGTTAAACAGATCTACTTTTTTTAGGAATGTCATTAAAGCATTATATACTTTATAATGATTCAAGCCATTATTCAACAACGTTTTAAGTGTCATATTTCCTATCCCTATTTCTTTTAATTCTTCCAACAGAAATGCTCTTTCATTATCATAAGCAGAACAGCGTAATAGTGCATGCTCTACTGTTTCTGGTAATCCACACAGACTACAGTTCCCAGACTCATGCTTATTCATTTTATATAGAGAAGAATTTAAAGCAGTATGGCC